ACAACTAGCATGTGCCTTACAGGGTTGTTGTGAAGATCAAGAGATAATACATGCAAAATTTATTGTAGCATGATTCAAACCAAGGTCTTCCTGACTCCAAGGCTGGCCCTTTCTCTAAACCACTGCCTCTCATTAGAGGTCAAATCAAATCGAAAAGAATTTATGAAGTGTATTCTATGTGCCAGACACTGGCACTAGGGATACAAAGAAATAGCTAGGATTTATGTAGCCTTTTAAGGTTTGAAAAGTGATTTACAAAATATTATCTCATTTGATCTTCACAACAATTCTAGAAAGTCGGTAGTATTATCACCCCCATTTTACAGATAAGGCAACTGAGGTAAGCAGAGGTTAAGTGACTTGCCCAGAGTCATACAGCTAGTGCGTGTTTGAGGCTGGATTTGAACTCAGGTCTTCCTAACTCTTGGTCCAGTGCTCTCCCTTCTCTCAGGGAGCATGCATTCTAATGGGGGAGACAACATATAAATAACTAGGTGTGTGCAATGTATAGACAGTGAAAACAGAAGGTCATTTTAGAGAGAAGGCACAGCAGCTCAGAGAACCAGAAAAGGCTTCCCATAGAAGGAGGAAGGAGCCCAGAGAAGCCAGGAGTCAGAGCTGAAGAGGGAGAACATTCTAGGCATGTTGGACAGCCAGTACAAAGATGTCAAGATGGGAGACAGAGTTTCATGTTCAAGAAACAAGTTGGCGGTATTGCTGGATCATAGCCTTTGTGGAGGGGAGTAAAATTCAACCAATCAGTCAACTGGCATTTGTTAAGTCCCTTCTGAGCCCTGGGGATACAAAGAAAAAAAAGACAAAACTGCCCCTGCTCTCAAGTCTAATGGTGGAGACAACATGCAAACAACTGTGTACAAACAAGCTATTTGTTGTTCTTGTTCAATCATGTCTGACTCTTCATGAGCCCATTTGGGGTTTTCTTGGCAAAGATCCCGGAGTAACTTGCCATTTAGTTCTCCAGCTCATTCTACAAATGAGGAAAATGAGGCAAACAGGGTTAAGTGACCTACCCAGAGTCACACAGCTAGTAAGTGTTTGAGGCTGGATTTGAACTCAGGTCTTCCTGACTACAGGCCATACTTTTTATCCACTGTGCCACCTAGCTGCCCAGACAAACAACCTATATACAGGAAAATTGGGGATAGTTTCAGAGAGAAGGGATTAAGATTAAGGAATGATAAGAGACTTGAGGCAGGGATGCCAACCGGAAGGTTATTGCAATAGTCTGGGGGAGAGGTGATGAGAGACTGAACTATGGTGGTGATTGTGTGAGTGGAAAGGAGGGGAGTTATATATAATATATATTGTGAAGGTCAAAGCAACACTATCTGGTGATAGACTGGAGATGTAAATTGAGTGAGAGTGTCAAGGATGATACCGAGGTGGTGAATCTTGGTGACTAGAAGGATGGTGAGTGTAGTTGACAGCAATGGGGAAGCTCCAGAGAGGGAGAGGCAGGTGGTTTGGGGGAAAGAGAATAACTTTTGTTTTGAACATGTTGAGTTTGAGTTCCCTCTGGGACATCTGGTTCTAGACGTTAAAAATGCACCAGTTGATAATAGATGACATCAGCTCTGTAGTTCTAGGAATCATCTGCATAGAGATGATAATGGAATCCATGGGAGCCCATGAGATCACCAAGTGGGGCAGTATGGAAAGAAAAGAGAAGATGTTTCAGGACAGAGCCTTGGGGGACACCCATGGTTGGCAGACATGACATCTGCAAAGGAAACTGACTGGTTAGGAAGGAAGAGAACTGGGAGAAAGCAGCACCATGGAAGGCCAGAGAAGTGAGAGCATGATCAACATCGTCAAAGCCTGCAGAGAGTTCAGAGAAGATGAAGACTGAGAAAAGGCCATTGGATTTGGCAGTTAAGAGGTCACTGGTAACTTTGTCCAGTGAAGTTTTCATTGAATGATGAGGTCAAAATCCAGACTGGAGAGGAAAGTGAGAGAAGAGGGAGTGTAGATAGCTTTCTCAAAGAGTTTAGCCGAGAAGAGATATAGGACAACAACTGTTGGGTACAGTAGGATCCGATGAGTGTTTTTTAAGCATGGGAGAAACATGGGGTGTATTTTTAGGCAACAATGAAGGATCCAGTCATTCTTTGTTAATAATAATAATAATAATAATAGCAATAACTAGTATATGTATAGTGCCTACTACGTGTCAGGCACTGTGCTAAGCACTTGACAAATATTATCTAATTTGATCCTCACAGCAACCTTTTGAGGTAGGTGTTTTCATCATTCCCATTTTACAGTTCAGGAAATTGAGTCAGGCAAAGGTCAAGTGATTTGCCCAGGGTCAAATCCAATTTCTTTTCTTTTCTTTTTTTTGAGTGAGGCAATTGGGGTTAAGTGACTTGTCCAGAGTCACACAGCTAATGAGTGTTATGTATTTGAGATCGGATTTGAACTCAGGTCCTCCTCACTCCAGGGCTGGTGCTCTATCCATGCCACCTAGCTGCCCCTCAAATCCAATTTCATGGCAGGTAGTGATAGTCTTCTGTGAAGCTCCAGGGGGCTCTTCTGTCAGGCAAGAACTGGAGGAGAGATGGTAGCCTACTGTTTTGTCTGCATTGGAGAAGGCCCTGGGGGTTAGGGGTGAGGTAGAGGGGGTCCTGTCCTGGGACAGGCTGGCACTGGAGGCCTTGGAAGGGGGGAGGACCAACCATTGGGATCTGGAATGCAGTGCTTTGTCATAAAGCCCCGACTAGGTCAGCAGTTAAAGAGATGTGAGGAGATTCCAGGAGATGGATGCCCAGGTTTTGTCTCTTTCGCTTTCTGTCATTATGCCAATGTGAGGGGGTCTTGTTTTGTGGAAGCAGGGCAGTAAGGTCCTTCAGAGGAATAATCCTGAATGGGGTTTAGATTTAGGAAGAGATTAGTAGTGCCAGATGCAACCATGCCATGTTGGCCATAGGATCATAGATTTAGGGCTGCAAGGGACTTTAGAGATCATTTACCCTAAACCCCATCATTTATTTTGCAGATAAGGAAACTAAGTCTGAAAAGTGAAGACTTTCTCAAGGTCACACAAGTATTAAATAAGAAAACCAAGATTCAAACTCAGGTCCTGTGACTTCAAACCCAGCATTCCTTATGCTGCACTGTGATGAACTTCACTAATCCTTCTCTCTTTTGGCTCCTTCAATAGTGAGAGTTCAACACTGTCCAGTAGTCAGACTCTAACCCTGAGCCACCACCTCCCCTATTCTGCCCTAATTAAAATGAAGGTGCTGAAGGACTGCTGTCAGGCACCAGGGAATAAGCAATGGTTATGCAGTCAGAGTATCCGGGTTCAGATTCTTCCTTTGACACTACCTGGGTGGCCTTAACATCTGTGGGCCTCAGTTTCCTCATATGCAAAATGAGGGGATTGGACCAGATGGTCCCTGGGGACTCTTCTGGATCTAAATCTTCGATACTATGCTCCTGTGAACTGAGAGTATGTACCATCCTGGTAGGTGCAGCCAGACACTTCCTTACTCGTAATTTCTAGATATGAAGCTTGGGGAATCAGGGATCCAGCACCTGACCCTGAAGTAATGGTTTCTTGTTTGTGAAACCGGGTCAGTTTTTCTTCTACTCCTTCCCTCCCCCTCCTCAGGATCCTTATCTCCTCCTCCCTGTTGCTGCCCATAGCAACAGCTCTGGCACCTTGCTGTGAGGGACTGATGCCTGCAATCTGGGTCCAGGGCCTCCCTCCCAGTTGGGGAGATAGATCCTCTTCTCCAGGCGTTGAAGAGTGGGCAGGTGGGTGGGCAAAGGGCCCTGGTGGAAGGGGAGGAAATGTCCTCTAGGGCAAGGATGACCTTAAGGTTAGAACCAACCCAATGGTGCCTGATGATGATTGGTAGGGAGGAAGAGACTGTCTGCTTCTTACTAGCTTAACCTCCTGCCCCCTCTATCTCGCCTCTGAGCTGCGTTTGCTCAGAACTACCATTTGTAGGGGGTAAGTGGGGGTGGATAGGAGTGGGTGGGATTGAGTTGGTGGCTAAAATCAGGAGCTATGGTCTCAGGGATCCAGTTGGTGTAAGGACTCTACCTTTTTCCTTGGGGTTCATGTTTGCCTGAGGGGATGAGTTAAATGGCGGGGGGCAGCTTCCTCCCCTCCTCACAACCCTGCTGTTGCCCCTCCCCAGGGGCTCTACCCTACTCCACCCAGCATTTATAGTCTATGTTCAAATCCAAATCTCCTGCCTCAGCCTTAGAGGAAGGGCTCCTAGGTGTGCCAGGCATTGAGGAGTTGGAGGGCCACCCACCCTGTATGCAGGCGTGGGTGTCCTGAAGGGAAAAAGGGTCGGATTGGTTAACTTGGCGTTCAATTTTTGGGTGTGTGAAGGGTGCCGTGCAGTGTGGGAAAGGGGTGGGGGGGAGGGTCCACCCACGAGTGTGCAGTGGGACTGTAGATCCACAGGGGTGCTGGCCTCCTCGAGGGTGACTGTGGGTGGGGGGGAGGGTCCTGCCGGCAGGACAGAGGGAGGGGTGGGTCCACGCTGGGAGCATTTCCCCGCGTGTGTGTTCCGCAGGGAGGAGGAGTGGGGTGGGTCCACGCTGTGCTGTGTGCGGGTCCCCGCGTGCGTGGTGTCTGTGTGTGTGGGGGGGTGCCGCGCAGGGGAGAGGGAGGGGCCGGTCCACGGCGTGTGCGGCAGAGCCCCGCGCCTCCTCCCGCGTGTAGGTGTGTGGCACACACGCAGCGAGCAGATCTCGCGTTGCGCTGCCCAGAGCCAGCCCCCCAGCCTCCGGCCCCCCGCCTGGAGCGGAGGTGTCACTCTCTGCCCGCGCTGCTGCTGCTGCTGCTTCTGCCGCCGCCGCCGCCGCCGCCGCCGCTGCGGGGCTAAGTCGGAGACCGAGACCGAACCTGAGTCCGAGTCTGAGCTCGAGCCTGAACAGCTTGACTGCTACACCGCGCCTTCCCCAGAGCCCTGCGCCGCCACTGCCGCCGCCGAGAGCCTGAGCCCAGAGCGCGCAGCAGGGGAAGCGGCAGCTCTCAGAGCCCTCTCCGCGCCCGCAGCGATGGCTACAACCGTGACCTGCACCCGCTTTACCGACGAGTACCAGCTCTACGAAGATATCGGCAAGTAAGAATCCAGGCGGCGCCGCGCTAGGGGAGGGCTGCAGGGGCAGTAGAGGGGAGGAGAAGGCAGGGCTAGGGCCATGACCGGGAGTCGGGGTGTGGGGGGGCTGCGCCAGCCCTGCGGGAGGAGGAAGCCCATGCCTTCAGTGCCCCCCCCCGCCCCCTCCATTTCCCCGCAAAGAAGCGCCCGGTGTCTGTCTGCATCAGTGTCTGTGCGTGCTTGCATGTGTCGCTGTGGGGTGTGTGTGTGCGTGTTGGGGGGGGGGACGGAGGGTATCTATGTGCCCAGGCTTGGGGCCGGGGCGGGGGGCGCATTGCGGGCCCCGTGCACTTCCCAGTTCTTTGCGAGCTCCCCGGCGCCCGGGCGTCCCAGGGACAGGCTGACAGGGTGGCTTCTTGGGTACGGCTGCTGCGGTGACAGTGGCGGTAGCATGGCCACAGTCTTCTCAGTCCCCTGTTCCTTCACTGCCCCTCCCCCACAGTCTCTCTCCCTCTTCAGCCCTAGCAGCTCGGCTCTGGGCGCCCGGGGCTTATTAGGGGCGTGGGGGCGGCGGGGGCGGGTGCAGGTGCCTCTCGAGAAACATGCAGACGTGACGCATTTCGCAAAGGGGAGGATCGAGGGCTGGAACTAGAGGGGGGTTGGGAGAGGGGGTCGTTTAGTGGCAAGCGGCCGACCCCCCGCGACAACCCTGGCCTGCCCAGCTTCCCTGCCCATAGCTGCTGCGGCGGTGTGGTCGGGAAGCTCTTGGGGCGCGGGCTGCCGCTGGGCTTCCCCAGCACTCAGCGCCTTTGCGGAGAGGAGATTGCCTCTGCCGAGTCGGGGTGGGGCTGGGGGCTGGGGTTTAGGGGAGGCACTCTGCCCGCCAGGCTGTCCCGGCCATGTGCTGGCACACTGCTTTGCTGCCTTCTGCATCTCCAGAAGCCGGCAGGGGTTTGGGTGGAGATGCCCAAAGAAGGCCCGCCCATTCTCCTGGGGGTGCAGGGCGGGGGAGGAAGCGGCTGCGGGCTGGGAAGGGGGAGGGGGTGTACAAACCAACTGGGTGTGAGTGGTAGCCGGGGCGAGGGGAAGAACCTTCAGGGTTCTGAACACCCCCTCCCCCATGCCCTGAGGCTGTGAATCCTTAAGCCTGTACTCTTTAGCCCCCTCCACTGAGATCAGTAGGGAGGGATGTGATTGTGTGTGTAAGTGTAAAGCCCTTCCATGAGGTTTGGTCTTTTGCTCAGTTTACTCCTTACAAGGTCCTGATTCCCTTGTCTCCCATTCCTATGCTTCCTCTGCGAAGTCTGGAGATCAGGGAGGGGAGGATTTTGGACAGAGTGCCTGTGGCTTTTAGGTGAGGTTCTACCGAGTGCCTGGAGGGCGGCTTAAGAAGTTTTCCTGCCGAACACCTGCTAGGAAGAGGAGACAGAAGCTGTAGGAGGGTGTGCAGGCCTTAGAGTGCTAGCAGCACTCCTCTCAAAGCAGCTCTGTTTTAAGGGCCTACAGGTTGAAACCAGCAGAGAGCCTGCTTTCTGAAATTTCCTTTGTGGGAAGATGTGCAACCTTATCTACCAGTATTCCTGTAATGGTTGATAGGGGCAGAGTTAACCCAGGAATAAAGACATAGCTTTTCTTTCTTTGGCTGGCTCTCCTTATTTCCCATAATCTGAGGTTTCCAGGCTGGGCTTCCCAGGGGGTCTAGCATCTCTATAACATATTGCTCTAGTGAGATAGGATTCCAAGACAAGTAGAAGTACTTAGTATCTTCTGGGCCGGGAACCCTTGGTGGCACTCTGGTACTAAGTTAAGGAAGTAGCAGTAGAATTGAGAGGGTGGGGAGTAAGAGGGCAAAAGACCTGGGTTCTAATCCAGGTTTTGCCATACGCACAACTGTGTGCTTTTGGGTAAGTCCCCTCTTCTTTGGGTTTCACTTTTCCCCGTTTGTAAAACCAGCAAAACACACAAGGTAATTTCTAATGTTTTATCTGGGTCTAACTGTCTCTGATTATCTTGGCTTGGGACTCAGGTGGAAGTGGGTTGGGAAAGGCAACCAGTTTCCCTTTGCTCTGGGGTCATTGAAGCTCTGGGAAACCTTTTATCTAGTCACCTGACTCCTTAGTTCACATTTTCTTCTCTCCAAGAATACCCTGCTCACTGCTAACTGAAAATCTCTTGAGAACTCAGAGCCCTAACCTTTCTGTGGGGGCCTAGAGGGGCAGTCTGAGGGGATTTCCTGATCTCCTCACCCTTATTAAGCCCCCTTAGAATCCTGTAGCTCACCTCCTCCATGAATCTCCCTCCTTAATCCCCCCAGTTAGAAATGATCTTATTCACTCTTCAGCACCTCCACTTTGCTTCCATTGCCCAGATGTGCTTAATGAGGTATTATTTTGTTATATAAATACTTTTGTCTGTGTCATAACCCTGTGCTAGAATGAACTCCATGAGGATAGGGCCTCTCTTCTTCCAAACTTTGTGTCTCTCCCATATGTGTCTCTCTATGTGCTCATTGTTAAGTGGTACTTAATAAATGTTTATTAGTTGAAGGAGAAGTAGTGTGGTGTAGCTGATAGAGAGTTGGCCTCAGAGTGAAGAAGGCTTGGGTTCAAGTTCTGGGTCAGTTGAATGCTATCCTTATGACCAACAGTGGGCAAGTCATTGAACTTAGTGCCCTAGGCACCTGTCTAAGGTTATGACCCTGTAAGTTGCAGAGCTGGCACCAGTCTGAATTAGTAAAGGGAATTCACTGGGAGTTCCCTATGCCAGTGAAATCACAAGTCTGGACCAAGAAGTCAACACTTCATTGAATTGGAGGATGTAAGCAATGTCTCTGTGAAGTGGGTAGGAACTTTGGTCAGGAGAACAGTGTTTATTTCCAACAAATATCACTGAGAAGTAGATTTCAGGATCTGAAATCTGGGAGAAGGGGAGAAGAGATAGTAAAATGATTGGGATAGCTGAATCTTGAGTGGAACATGGGGGAGGGGCATCCTACTATCTTCTTAATTGACCTTAAGCTCCATGAGGGCAGGTACCATGTGTCATCTAAGCTTTATTTTGCATTCCACTGATCAGTGCTAAGTCAAATTGGATGGCTGAGTGGGTAAACCATCCTGGCCCACACATTCTCTCTGACATTGTTGGTTTGAGACCAAACTGGAGCACTTCTCTTGAAAGTACTTTGGGGTCAGTCTTCAGGTGAAGGTGCCTGGGAGGCCTGTAGTTCAGCTCTCAGGTTGTGGGGCTCTTCTGGGCTACCCTAGCCACCAGTTGTCATCTTTAATCAGGCCTCTGGCATCACTCAGTCCCTGAGTAGAGATGAATACGTAGGATCAGCAAGTCCTAGGACTAGAGGATTGTACACTGAGAACCAGCAGGGACGATAGAGTCTATCTTGCCCAACCCTCTCATTTTATTGATGAGGAAACTGAGTTCCAGAGAAGGGAAGTAACTTGCCCAAGGTCAAACAGATCATAAGCAGCTTGCCTTTCTTCTCTTAGGGTTCCCTATGTGTTTTATTCTGAGTCAATATGACCATGATCTTGGAAGTCCATTCTTGCTTTCTTGGGATAATATGGCAGAAGGTGTTAGAGGAAACAATTGGTAGGATATTTAATAACGTGCTTCAGTTTTATCTTGTTTCATGTGAACTTGGGCAAGGCTATGACCCTGTAGGCCCCATTAATTTCCTAACTGGTGAAATGTGTAGGAAGGACACAGAGGATGAGGAGTCAAACCCATAGAGAAAGTCAAGAGATGCCATTGAGTACCATTGAGTTCAATCCCAAAGGGATCAGAGGCCTGAAAGCTGTGGAACTGGGAAGTATGATGGGATACTCCTGGAATGACATTGGGCTCCCAAGGCCAGGTATGTATTCTCAGGAGTGAGAGAGAGAGAGTGGTAGGAAAAGCACAGGCACAGAACTGTTCACACTTTGGGAAAATGGGACCAGGGAATGATTTGAGAACAGCTTTCTCTCCATCTCTGGCCCCTTACTGTGATTTCTAAACCCTTGGACAATCTAATTAGGCTAATTCACATGCACCTGTGTGAAGGAGAAGCTGTCCTTTCTTGCCACCATCAGAGACTCACGGAGTGTTAGAGCTGGAAGGCTCCTTAGAGATCATCTGGCTCAGCCCTCTCTTTTTTACATCAAATCCTGGGGAGAGCTGCCACTCAGGTATCCAGAACAGCTCAGAACTGGATGAGGATAGAACTTCAGAACCAGGGCTCTTCTGACCAGGCTCCTTGCCCAGTCCTTGGAGAATGACAGCAGTTATAAGAGAGAATCTGAGACAACCTCTCTACCAATCATGGATGACCTTCCACCCTTCCCTGATAGCCAAGAGAAGGCGCCAGCCAGAGGCCATTGACTTTGATGGAACTTAGTTGGAGATCAGTGAGGGCTTTTTAAATTGAGAGGGCTGATCAGGCCAATCAGAGCTGACCCACCTTAAAAGGCAGCAGCACTTGATGGCCTTTGGCTTCTGTTGCAGCAACTGTTGCTATAGACCTTTTTGGGGATCTGATGCATTAGCATTTCAGCTGTGGATCCAAAGAGATAATATTTGTAAGGTGCTTAGCATAGTGCGTGGCATGTGGCACTGAATCAGCCCCACCCTGTGGTTCCCTGGTGATACCCTGTAGGGAAAAGAGACCCAGATACAGGTAGCAGTAATAAATGAGTTTTATATTGTGCTGTGAAATTTATGGAATGCTTTACATTCTCTATCTTATTTGAGCTTCACAATTAGCCTGTAAGGTATTATTATTATCTTTATTTCATAGATGGAAGAAACGGAGACTCAGAGATATTAAGGTGATGTGTCCTGAATTATATAATTACTAAGTGTAAATTAGTTGCAACAGGACATCTGTTCCCTTCGGGCAGGGACTTTTTCATTTTTGTCCTTTATCCCCAAGGGCCTAGTACAGTGCTTGGTTCACAGGAGGTATATACTTCTATGTTTTTTGAATTGAATTGCATTAAATTGTCTAAGGCAGAATTTGAACCCAGGTCTTT